CTGAAGGTTCTCCCACCAATGGTGGGGTGGGTGGGTCGGGGGACATGGAGCAGGCTGGAGCCAGCTGAGCGGAGGGAACGGGCGGGTTGGTCGGCGCTAAGGAGGTCGCAGAGGTAGGGTGGGGTGAGGTCATGGAGGGCTTTGTAGGTGAGGACCAGGATCTTGAACTGGATCCTCTGGAGGATAGGGAGCCAATGGAGTCGGGCGAGAATGGAGGGAAGTTTGGTGCGGGAGAGGACACGGGTTGCAGAGTTCTGGATTATCTGTAGCCTGTGGAGGGAGGAGTTGGGAAGGCCGACAAGCAGGGTGTTTGCATAGTCGAGCCTGGAGGTGATGAAGGCATGAACAAGAGTTTCAGCGGCCTGAGGGGTGAGGTAGTGGCGGAGTCGAGCGATGTTACGGAGTTGGGGAAGGCAGAGTGGGTCATGGCTTGGAGGTTGGGGAGAAAAGACAGTCGAGGGTCGAACAAGACACCTAGGTTCCTGACTGGCTGGTGAGTTGAAGTGTGCAACCATGGAGGTTGATGCTGCCAGAGCCTGAGGTGCAGAGGCGCTGGCGCGAACCAATCAGGAGGGCCTCAGTCTTGTTCACATTCAACTGTAGGAAATTTGCCCTCATCCAGGACTTGATGTCCGACAGGCAATCTGTCAGGGCAGCAGTGGTCCTGGAGTTGAGGGCGGAGGCAGAAAGTTAGAATTGGGTGTCTTCCGCATACATATAGAAGTGACCCCATGTCTGCGGATGATGTCACCAAGGGGGAGCGTGCAGATATTAAAGAGGAGAGAGGCAAGGACAGAGCCCTGGGGGATGCCAGACATGACAGTGCGGGGGCTGGAGGAGAAACAGTTAGAGGCAACAAAGTGGAGACAGTGAGAGAGATAGGATTCGATCCAGGCAGGGGCAGGTCCGCGAAGATTTAGTAAAGAGAAGAGGCGGTGTATGAGGATGGAGTGGTCGACAGTGTTGAAGGTGGTAGAGAGGTCGAGGAGGACAAAGAGGCAGAGGGAGCCCTGATCACAGATGTTCAGAGTATCCTTAGTGACTTTGACCAGGGCTGTTTCCGTGCTGTGGGCAGCGCGGAAGCTGGATTGGAAGGGTTCAAAGATGGAATGGCGAGAAAGAAAGGAACGGAGCTAGGATGCGACGACTCGTTCCAGGACCTTGGAGAGAAATGGGAGGTTAGAGATGGGGCGGTAGCTGGAGAGAGGGGATGGATCCAGGGAAGGTTTTTTCAAGATGGGGGTGATAATGGCTGTTTTTAGGGGGGTGGGAACTGAACCGGTGGACAAGGTGAGGTTGATGACATATATTAAATCAACCACAAAGCCAATATAGAAACTGATCCTAATATCATAAGCTGTATAAACTTCAAAGAAGCCAGTGGTTATCTTAGTCTTTCTTCACAAGTTGAATCAGTGGAACGTGATTGAATGTGCATCATACATCTTTTGCCATTCACCTGAAGGGTTGAATAACCTATATAAACGGGAACCGGACACTGGGTTATTGTTCCACTTCCTGCTGAGCTGGTCAACCATGAGTTAGCATGAGAGTATCGAAGGGCGTTGTTCCGCTTTGAAAGTGCTACCTTGGCCCAGCAAGCACAATTCATAATAATCATTGCATTTGATATAGCACCTTGTCACGTCTTCAAGACATCTCAAAGCGCTTCACAGAATATATTGAATGGTGAATTCACTGTATATTTTGTGGGCAGAATGCAGCAGCCAATTGAGCACAGCAGTGTTCCACAAACAGTCATGGATTGAGTGACCACATTATTATTAGTTTTTTAAAGAGATTATTATCCCCAGAAAAGTTATCCCCCAATCGACTGACAACTGGGTTCTTATTTACTGCTAGGTGAACAGAAGTAAGGAAACTTGCCTAAAGTTCTGCATTGACCACTTTGTTCAAGTATCCCACAGACAAAACACCTTTTGCTTGATCAAAGGAAGACTGGAAAATTCAGTTCAATGGAGTTGGTCTCCGGGCACCAGGTTACAATCCAGCAATCAACAGCAATTCTCAGCAATGTTCTGTCTTTGTTGTGTCAGGTGCACTTCACACTTCTGCTTAGTGTTGGGAGGTGGAGTCAGGCAAGAGCCTCTGTAAAGAGGGGCGAGAGGCCAGAGAGGGCAAAAAGAGAGGAGACTGGAAGAAGGATTGCTTCTTGGGGAGACAGACTGCTCTGGAAACTAGGAGAGACTCGAGACCTTTCGAACTGTAACTAAATTAAGGGACAAAGTAATATGTCCAATTGTAATGATCATTCTCTCAAAAGCATTTGTATAGATTTGCTACCATCTCTGTGACTCAATTAAAATTCAGTGGAAAACCGACCGATTCAGCCTTCCTAATTACAGCAGCCTCTGAATTAGATTGGAACTGTGACTTCTTTTTAAGAAGGTACTTCATCCTGTAGCGTTAATATTGTCCGCATTGGTGCCTGAGATGAGCAATACAGTCGGGTAGAACTTGTCTATCTATACTTGGGACAAAGTCTGTACTGGGCTGTTTGTTTCATAAACCTCACCATGTGAGCTATGCATAAATTAACTAATTTGGACATAGAAAGACGCTTATCCCTGTTTTAATAGGAGGAGAGGGCAGCTGTTGTGTTTAGCAACGGCAGCCAAGTTTTGGGTTTATCATGGGAAACTACTAGTTTCCTGTGCTAAATATCAACATTATCTGATAAATAGTCAACACTATCGATAGCCTGCTATCTGAATTAATTATCTGGACCAGCCCCATTGTTGATTATGGAAATTGAAGATAATTGTTTATCTCGCAACAAATAAATTGGCTTCAGAGTGAACTAAAAACAACAGGAGTTCTGTTACTGTAGTACTGTCTCTGACTCTCTCTCTCTCTCACTCTCCCTTTCTTGCTTTCTGATATAGACCCTAGTTTTTTTTCGCCCCTATCTCTCGCTCTCTGATCCTCTTTTTCTAAATCTAATAAATTGTGGAGTCAACTGACATTGTGGAGTCCTGTAGCTCAGTGGTTAGAGCACTCGCTTTGCATGCAAGAGACCTGGGTTCATTTCCCAGCAGGGTGAAACCTTGGGCAAGTTTCCTTACTCCAAACGCCTGATAATAATCCCTCAAAAAAATAATAAATTGGTTACTTCAAACCGCGACTGTTTGTGGGACACTGCTGCCACATTTCACCCACACAAAAAAATAGTCAATTCACTTTACAGCCTATTCCGTGAAGCGCTTTGAGACATCTAGAAGACGTGAAAAGCGCTATATCAAATGCAAGGATTATTATTATTGCTGAATACATTTACTTGCTCCACGATGTCAGCTGGCCTGTGCGAGTATTAATCGCATGCTTAAATCACGTACTCAACTTGAAACCAAGGGAATTTAGACACTGCTGTGCGCAATTGGCTGCTGCATTTTGCCCACAAATATACGGTCAATTCACTTTACAGTATATTCTGTGAAGCGCTTTGAGACGTCTAAAAGACGTGGAAAGCGCTGTATCAAATACAAGGATCATTATTATTTACACCGTAAAACAAATTGACATGTCCACTTTGTGGAACTGTTATGGAAATCTCATTCCCAACATGTTTTGTCCTGCCGTTGCACTCTTCTGCTTATGTATTGATTCAACTGGAAGGCAAAAGTGGAAAATGGAAGTGCGTCGACTCATATAATTTTGCCCCAGTGATGCTTGTGACATTGTCAGTGATCTTCCGTCATGTTTGTGAAGGCAACATTTCTCCTTGCTTCTCGAGACCAAGGCTCCCTTTCTGTAGTTAACTGGAATTATTTGTCAATTGGCTGCTTTCATCCCCTCTGAATTATTCAGGCATTTTTCCCACAAGGAGAACTAATTTATTTTTCTGTTCCTTCTCCCCCCCCCACACACACACACATATGCACACACACTTGACTGCTTCACTGCTCATCATCACTTCTGTGGGAAAGAAGGGATTTTGTTGGCAGGTTAATAGCTCGTCAGTCACTATTAGGTCTAGGTCCCAAGGTAGATCTGCATCCCTGTATGCAGATGACCTACTTCATATTTTGTCCTTCCATCTTGTCTCTCTTGTGCCTGACAATAAATGAGTTCAGTCATTTTTGCAGTTTCAAAAGTGCTTTAGGTCAGATATTATTTTTTGTATAGTTTTCACTACTTCAGGGAGCATATTTGTTGGACTTGTATCATGGTACCATACTAATTTGTGACTCCACTAGTTTGATGAAGTGGGCTGCCTATATAGTTTTATTTGCAAAAGGCAAACTAGCATACCAGTGTATATAACTACAACCTAAATTTACATAGGTGCCTTTCATTTCAGGAGGACATCTCAGTGCTTTACGTTGCTGACTGGGAACCTGAGCTGGGAGGGGATTGTTGTGCTCACTGATAATTATGATACATTTCAAGCCTTTGTAAGAAGTCTTACAAAAATATATTGGTTACTGGAAAATTCAAGTTAGCCTGGGAGTTATTGTAAGTCGAAAGGTCCATTGGTCTATCTTTAATTTCTGATCCAGCATTCATTGTTTCAAATGCCTCTTAGCAGTCTTTGCTCCATAATCAATTAGACTGTTTCTTGCAAGCTTTGGCTGTTTTTTATACCAAAATATAGAACCATATTTATACCAAAATTCAGAACCATAAGTAAAAACCGTAGCGATCGGTGATGAGAGACTATCTCAATATAATTAGCTCAATATAATTGGTGTTGATTGATTATACTTTCAGCTTTGAATATCACATTCAAAGAGTAATTTCCCGGAGTTATTATGACATTGAAAAGGAGATAAATAATTTGACTGTAAAGTACAATGCAAACTTTATAATCCATTTTAACATTATTATGAGAAAGATAAGATTGTAAATAGAAATTAGAGCACATCATTTTTTTTAAAAAGTGGGTTTCATATTAAATTAGAGTTTGCTGTACAATGTTTTTTAAACCTGTGGACAGATGCAAGATTTATTCCCCCCCCCCCAACCCTCTTGTTTAACAGGTTGATATGCAGAAGCCCAGTCCAATGGATGTTGATCGACTCCAAAGGCAAATCATTATTGCAGACTGTCAGGTCTATCTTGCTGTGCTTTCCTTTGTAAAGCAGGAACTCTCAGGTGTGTAACAGACTGGGGCAAAAATTCCCCACCTTTTATCTTTGTTTCTGCAAAGCAATTTTGGTTTTTGATGTATTTTCGTGCTTGCCCAATGACTGTTCTGCATGTCCCATTGTGGAACTTAGACAAGGAAAGTCTCAGGTGTAATCCCTAGTTTGTGCCCCACCCTCTTCAGCACCTCTCCCTCCCGGCTCAGTTGCCCAACCAGCTTTCTATAGAACTCTGAGGCATCCTCCCGATGTGAAAGGCACTAAATAACTGTAAATTGTATTGCTGGATCTCGAAAGGAGCAGCAGTAGGCTTGCCTTTAGTGCCCCTTTCACGTGGAAGTGAAAAATTAGACAGAAGGACAATTACTTATGTTACAGGATTCAGAATGTTACAAAAAGTCGAATTTGAAAGGGCATTTGTCACATCACATGCGCCCCTTTTATTAACTGATTGGAACATTATTCCATATTTATCACTTCACTTTTTTTCCTTTAAATCTGTTCCAAACCTACTTTATACTATTTTTTAAAATCTGTATAAACTGATGTACTTTAATGGAGTAGTATGAGATTTTCTTGCTAAAGGAGCAGTCAAAGACATGTATCTTTTTAGATGGGGTTTGAAACGGAGAAGGAGGCGACATATCGTTTTTTCTTTAAAATCTTTAAAAGCCTCTTTAAAGATTTTGGCCACCTTGATTCTGCTTTGATATGTCAGGAATGGAAAAAATACTTTCCATGGATAAATAGTTAATGAAGCGTTTTTTTTCTACCCTCAATAAAGCATACATTAAAGGTGGATGGATCCTAAGGAAGGCATGGAAAATTTATAATAAATGTTACGCTGAAATTAATTCTCTGCAACTGATGCACCAGAAAAAAAGATCTCAGGAATCGCTAACATCGGATCAGGCAAATGATAATCACATTTCTGCTGAGAGTGCATCTGAAGCGGCGCTAAGTAGACTAAAAGGTGCCGTGAGTTTTGGCTACGGACTTTTCCATCTTTGCATATCAATGGTTCCTCCTAATCTGCTGAAAATCATCAATTTATTGGGATTTCCTGGAGACCGTTTGCAAGGACTTTCTTCTCTAATGTACGCAAGTGAAAGTAAGGACATGAAGGCTCCTTTAGCGACGTGAGTAGGTGTATCGGTAGTTAAGTGTTGTAGTTCTAAGGAAATGTTTGGTTGTTTGTGTAACATTAATATTTTCTTTAAATATTGGATTGTTCTCAATCCTCTGGCATTGTTAATGGTTTGGGAAGTGCTAAACCAGATGATGATAATAATAGTAATCCTTGCCTTTCATGCAGCACCTTATCTTCAAGATATCTCAAAGCGCTTCACAGAATATACTGTAAAGTGAATTGAATGTATATTTTGTGGGCGAAAGCAGAGGCAGTCAACACCTTGAATGTTTTTCAGTTTTTAAAGGAAAATTCCTCACGATTAGCAGACGTCATACGATGATTTTCATCTTGAACAAAAAAGATCTCGCGATGAGCTGTCAAATTGTCAGACCTGTAAATAAATAAATCCTTGCATTTGATATAGCAATTTTCACGTCTTCTAGACGTCTCAAACTGCTTCACAGAATATACTGAAAGTGAATTGACTGTATTTTGTGGGCGAAATATGGGAGTCAATTGCGCGCAGCAGTGTCCCACAAACAGTCGTGGATATGAGTGACCAAATAATTTTTTTTTTTTAACGATTATTTTCCCTGGAAAAGCGATACGCGAATCGACTAACAAACGGGTTCCTACTTACTGCTAGGTAAACAGAGGCGTGTGGTGTAAGGAAACTTTGCCGGGAATAGAACACAGGTCTCTCGCTTGTAAGGCAAGTGCTCTTACTACCAAGCTACAGGACTCCACATCTTCTATAATTCACCATCATGATGATAGTTGGTGATAGCAATTACCTTGAGTGGCACAGGTTAATCCAGCATGGCTTTAAGAGCAGGAAGTCCTGCTTAACAAATGTATCGGATTTTCTTTTAGGAAGTTACAGACTTAATGGATAAGAGTTTATTGGAGGGAGTTCAGGAAAGCACTACTGGATTGATTTTAGAATTATTAATGTATAAGGAAAGAATTTAGCTGTTCCGGATCTTAAACTGAGAAGTCAAAGTGGGACAGGGGAAGCTGTAAATTTGAGTTTAAATCAGTTTTCAAGCGCAGAAAAAGGATAGTTTTAATAAAAGGTAATGGGCGTGAGGGACAAACTATGTGGAGGTTGGGAACAAGAAACCCTAAGAGTTTCAAAGAAGAGTTTCAGTTTCAGTCTGATTAAGTTAACAGATTCAGGAATACTGGATTTAGAGATTCAGAGAAACCCAGAGACATGGATCCAAAATTTACAATTGTATTATAACAGATCATCAAAAAAAAAATGACTGTCAGTCCCACTTCCATATTATAAAGTCACACCTGACATTGTTTTTAGCATGTTATGTACAGGATACACCACTGACATTACCTGCACTGAGTAAGAAGTGCTGCTTATGTCACTTCCTTTGTAAGAAGAGGTATGTGTAGCATGAATCGCTGGCCATATTTCGGCACTGGAGGCCAGGTGTACTCCATTACTGATACAGCACTTGTCCACAATAGATGCTCTATAAGCAAACTCAAGGCATGTTCTGATGAAGGTGCCCGGTGTAGATGGTCAAGGATCCAGTAGGAAATCGGTAGGCCAGATAACTCTTCTCCTGACTGAAATTGTAGCATGGTATTACCTCCTTAATATGGAATTTAATTTTATTGTTTTAAATTCATGAATGTCTATATTGGTCATTGTAAATCATTCAACCCAAATTAAACAATTTTAAGTTAACTGAATGGAAATACTGCCATTCTCTGCTTCTGTACTGATGCTTTTGTCTTCTATAGATTAGCTTTGTTATGGTACCATACTGTGGTACGCCCATTCTTTGCTTTGGATGGCATGGATACACAGTCTGGGTTGAAGGAGGCAAAAGAAATCCTTCGTAGGAAGGAAGCAATTTATCCAAACTCGTCCTTGTTTCTGTTTTTCAAGGGCAGAATTCAACGGCTAGAGGTACGGCTTCTCAATTCTTCTGTGAGGTGGTTTTAAATAAATAAACTGTTGTATTATTTTAAGAAAACTAACCTTTTGGATTCCTCCTGTACATAAATGAAAGTATTGTGATTATGAACTGAAATCTTTGCTCTTTTAACCGATCTGCATAGCTTGGCTTCTCAATCTCCAGTATGGAAGACAAGTGGATAGTTTCTCAACTAACTCTACAATTATAATGAAAATATTGGTGTGTTATAATTCTAAATCCTAGTGATTATCTTATAAATATTACATTCCTTCCAATCTGTGGTCCCATCATCTGGTTTCTTGTTTGCTTTTGTGGTCTTTGAAACTTTGCCAGTTAGCTATTTGGGGTCTTCAGAGTCCAGGTATAGTAATATTGTCTAACTATTGCGGATCATAGAAGGTTTAGCAATACAATAGAGATTGCGGTATGACAAAATCTCCTTCGGTCTTGCTCCTGGTGGTACCTGGAGCAGGTGGTTTCAGGATCAATGCAATTCACGCCATTGCAGAATAAAGGTGCTGCATGCAATTTGCCTCTCAGGCTATCCAAAGTGCAGCCTGAGAATTTTCAACAGACAGTCACACCATCAGCTCTTTCATAACTTTAAATAATGTTGAGTAGGCTGATCATACACTAAAGGTTGCATTTCCAGCCCCAATTCACATAATGTGGAGTGAGCAGTGTAAATCAGGTTGACCACTCTACATTGCAAGGCAATATAAAACCAGCTTTCGTGCCTGCTATTTTGTTTGTGAAGTTTTGAAGATATTTAGGATTCCTTGTAATTGAACTGTCCGTATATAATGGAAGTGTCTGAAACTTTTACTTCTGGATACTATCTCAGAGGAAGACTTTGTGCACAGTGCAATGGTCTGTGAAGTTCCAGCAATCATTGAGTTTTAAACTTAAACATTATGGTTGACTTGAATTGAGCAGTTTTGTAGTAGGCTTGTTTTTAAGACTTCTGTGTATGTTTTTTTTTAGTGTAAAATTAACAGTGCCTTGACATCATTCCAAACTGCATTAGAATTAGCAACAGATCAAAGAGAAATACAACACGTATGCCTCTATGAGATAGGTAAGTGTTTTTTTTCCTGTCAACACTGTTGCATCACCTGCTTGAACAAGAGCAATTTTATGTTCTACATGATTTATAATCCTATCATGCTTGACAATGCAGAGGATTCGATTTACCGCAAAGCTAAAATGTGCTATTTTAAACAGAAATAATTTATTGATGTACAGCTGCAGACTGGCAAATTATTTTCAATAATATGGAAGTTCATCCTCAATATTTAACTTTGAATAACTTACAATTGAACTGTTTGGTTAATGTTTCCGTTTTCTTTATGCCTTATCTCTGTTTTCCAGGGTGGTGCAGCATGATAGAGATGAATTTCAAGGATGCACACAAGTGTTTTGCGAGACTTAAAAATGAGTCTAGGTGGTCTCAATGTTATTATGCATATCTGACAGCAGGTTGGTGACACTTTGTTTGCAAACATTTTTAAATTAATTTCTTAAGATTGTATTTTATAACTGCACTTGCTGTAATAAGCTAAACCAATTTGAACTATTAGCTTGTTGCTTATATCCAGAAGATTTCCATTTTTTTCCAGCTCATATATTTTGTTGTATTTGGTTTCAATGTGTAATCTTTTACCTCCTGGTTTAAAGGACATCTTATCCCTCTCAGTCTTTAGCATTCTATTGACCTTTGGTAGATTATTGCAGGCGAGAATTGTTCTAGATTATTCACAGCAGTCTCTTGCCTTAGAATAGTTTTAGCAGAATAAAAGTAGAAACTACACATAGGTTAATGTAAAAATGTTATGAACCTTAATTTTTGAACTGGAACACAAACAGACATTTCTTTCCTTTTCAAGCAAGACTAAAATAATGATGTGCCCAGTAGGTCAATGGGTCATATGCTTATGAAGGAAAGGTGTCAGCTGGGCTCAGTTGATTGTACTTTTGCCTGTGAGTCAATTTGTGGGTTCAAGCCCCACGTCAAGGCTTTGAACTCCCTACAGTCTATGCTGACAGTGCTGTCCTTCAGATCACACATTAAACTAAAGCCCTTATACCTATTCAGGTGAATATTAAAGATCCTAGGGCACTAGACAAAAAAAAAATGAGTTTCTCCCGGTGTCCTGGCCGACCATTCCCCAAATAAAATAAGATCATTCACTTCATGGCTGTTTGTGGGATATTGCTGTGTGAATTCTTCCTACTCTGCTCCTGTTAACCCTGCAAGTCAAAGCTCTAACAGATAGGGTGGTCCGAGCTGGACAAGCAATGGCAAACTATGTGTTTTTACATTGCGGGGTTTCTAAACTTTGGCTTTTGCAACCTGCACCTAATACGCTCCAAAATTAGGTAAGCGGGGTTCATCCATTGAGGGAGAGAGTGTACACTTTTTTCCAGATACAGGAAATGTCCATGTGTGGATAATATGTATATGTGGAACCCTCTATCAGGTTTGGAGACTTAATCATGACCGTAGGTACTGCATGTGTCAGTGCACTGAAAGCTCAATAAATTGATTTTTAATTTCAATACATCTTGCAGTTTGTCAGTCTTGTATCTAAACTAAACTGTGATAGATGTACAAAATCATAAGAAACCAAAGGTATGTGACAAAAGCTAATCATTATTAAACTGTAAGTAGTTTCATGACTGAAAATATGTCCATAAACAGTACCCAATAGAAGAGCTTACTGGAACAACTGTGCAATGAAACTGTCTGCTTATGGTTATAATAGCTCATAATTCTAGCTATTAGGGTATATGCAGTTGATTTTATGATAAAATAGTGCTTCACTTTCCTCCACCATGCTCCCTTTTGAGACCTGTAAAAATAGCAAAATTAAACTATCAACATTTCTTTTTTATTTCTTTTAACTCCTACACTGCTAGCTCCCTCTTCCTTCTCCACTGCAGCATACCCACTAATATTGATGCACCTATGCTTCTAAATACAAAACTCTTCTGTACTATTTGTCTTTTTCACGGCTATGATATGCAGTACTTCAAAAGTTTGCCATTTATTAGATGCACTGTGACCAGATTGCAGCCAAATGTTCCTATCATCTTACGGTATTCATGAGTTTTGCCTGCGAGACTGTATGGGTACCAGCAGGACTTACTGATTCAAAATCCCTTCATTAATCTTCCAAATTCTTCTTATAATAATAATAATAATCCTTGCATTTGATATAGCGCCTTGTGTCGTTGAAACATCTCAATGTGCTTCACAGAATATACTGTAAAATGAATTGACTATATTTTGTGGGCGTAACGTGGCAGCCAATTGCAGTGTACCACAAACAGTCATGGATTGAATGACCAAATTATTTATTTATAAGAACATAAGAATTAGGAGCAGGAGTAGGCCATTCAGCACCCCGTGCCTGCCCTGCCATTCAATAAGATCATGGCTGATCTATTCTAACTCCACCTACTCGCCTTATCCCCGTTTCCCTTAATCCCTTTATCCACAAGAAATCTATCAATCTCAGTCTGAATATGTTCAAGGACTGAGCATCTACAGCCCTTTGGGGTAGAGAATTCCATAAATTCACTACCCTCTGAGTGAACAAGTTTTTCGTCAACTCAGTGCGAAAGAACTTACCCCTAATTTTAAGACTGTGATCCCTGGTTATAGTTTCTCCAACCAGGGGAAAAAGTCTCCGATTGTCTATTCTGTCGTGCCCCTTAATAATCTTATAGGTTTCTATAAGATCACCTCTCATTCTTCTATATTCTAGAGAATACAGCCCTAAATTGCTCAACCCATCCTCATAACCCATCCCCCTCATCCCAGGTACCAACCTAGTGAATCTACATTGTACCCCCTCCAAGGCAAGTACATCCTTTCTTAAATAAGGAGACCAAAACTGCACACTGTTGCGGTCTCACCAGGGCCCTATACAGTTGCAGCAAGACTTCCCTACTCTTATATTCTAACCCTTTTGTAACAAATGTCAACATACCGTTAGCCTTCCTAATTACTTGCTGTACCTGCAAACTAACTTTTTGTGACTGGTCTACAAGGACACCCAAGTCCCTCTGAGCTCTAACACTATCTAGTCTCTCCCCTTCTAAAATATAATCTGCTCTACTGTTTTTGCCATCTAGGTGGATGACTTCACACTTCCCTACATTATACTTCATCTGCCACCTATTTGCCCACTCACCTCGCCTATCTATATCTCGTTGCATTTTTTTAATGTCATCCTCGGTGTTTACTCTCCCTCCTAGTTTAGTGTCATCCGCGAATTTGGATATATTAAGTTCGATGTCCTCATTATTTACAATCTACATTGTAGATTGTAAATAATTGAGGCCCAAGCACTGATCCTTGTGGCACTCCACTAGTCACATTCCGCCAATCTGAGAAGGACCCGTTTATCCCTACTCTTTGTTTTCTTCCAGTTAGCCATTCTTCAATCCATGCTAATATATTCCCATATTCCCCTTAATTCCATGGGACCTAATCTTGTGGATCAACCTTTTATGCAGCACCTTATCGGATGCCTTTTGGAAATCTAAATACACTACATCCACTGATTCCCCCTTATCTAATCTACTTGATATTTCCTCAAAAAAATCTAAAAGATTTGTTAAGCATGACTTCCCTTTTGCAAAGCCATGTTGACTCTGTCTAATCATATTGTGATCCTCTAAGTATCCCACTACGACATCCTTAATTAAGGATTCTAGAATTTTCCCTACCACCGATGTCAGACTAACTGGTCTATAGTTCCCCATCTTTTCTCTCCCTCCCGAGTTTTCGACCGCGTCTTTGGTCACCTCCCCCCCCCTCCCCCTGGCTTGGTCCCGGGATCCGTTACTGTGAAGCGCTCTGAGACTCCGTCCGGGGTGGAGGGCGCTATATAAATCCAAGTTGTTGTTGTTTAATTTTCCCGCTGGTCTACTTGGTTTTTTATCTCTCTCCTGCCTCTGCTCCTGACTGTATTTTTGAAGGGATTATTACCCCATGAATGTGATCCGCCAATCGACTAACAACTGAGTTCCTACTCTCTGCTTGGTAAATCGAGGCATGTTGGAGTTAGGAAACTTGCCTAAGGTTTTGCCCGCCCGGGAATCAGTCACGGGTCCCCTCACTTGCGACACAAGTAGTTTAACTAATACGTTACAGGACTCCACAAAATTTCTTGCCAAAATTAGCATTCAAAGGAATGTTCAGGCTGTTAGTGCTAATTTCTGCCCAATTATTTGTGCTGAAAATCTGTAAATATTGGGATTGTTCAAAGCTGCTTCACATGAAACATTTAGAGCTGTCAGAGAGGAGTTCCATTCCATCTGTGACAACTAATTTAAATCCATTCCCTGAGGTAAACAGACTGTATACCAATATTCCATGCCACCTAATCACCACCAGGGAGTTTGCTTTTCAATAATTTCTAGCATAAACTCTCAAATGTCACTGCTGTTGAACCATTAATTGCATTATTAAGTAACAAATATTTTCAAAAAAAATGTAAATGTCTTTAGTTGCTGTACACTATTTTAATTTACTGTATAATAAAATAAAAGGTTTGGGTGAATTGTACATGGTATGTCTACATTTAATTCTATGCTCATTTTTGCTGCTTGTTCCCAAAATGGGAATGAAGTTTGTATTTGTCTTCCAAAGTCTTGTCTGCTTTAAATCTCTTGGATGTGTCTAATAATAATAATAATGATACTTACATTTGACATAGTGCTTTATCATGTCATCGAGACGTCTCATAGCGCCTTGCAGATATATTGGAAAGTGATGTGGCTGTGGCCGATTTGTAATGTATAATTTTAAAACTGCTTTGCTTTTCTGTAATTTTAGCATGCCAGGGAGCAACGGGTGAGACAGAGAAAGCACAAGATGTATTTAAAGAAGTTCAAAAACTTTTCAAAAGGAAAAATAATCAAATTGAACAGTTTTCTTTCAAAAAGGTATGTTAATAAGCCATTTCCTACTTGTCAAATATTGCATTCCCCCTGCCCCACTGCAAAACAGTATGAACGCCTTTTACTCCCATATCATTTTAGAAAATGTTTATGATAGGCCCTTATCGTAAATGTACCACTTTGTGTGTGAATCTGGGAACTCTGTGTGAATTTAAATTTCAGTGTATTAATTCATTAGTTTAAACATTTTATGCAGGCTGAACGGTTTCAGAAGGAGAAACCCACCAAAGATTTATGTGTGCTAGCCGCCATAGAGGTGTTATATTTGTGGAAAGCTCTTCCAAACTGTTCCTCTTCCAATCTACAACGAATGAGTCAAGGTAATTTCTGTTAAACCTGTCATTTTATGTTGACGGATATTAGGGTTGAACTTGTTCAGTGCCAGTAAACTTTTATATATAGATTCTATTTCCTTATAATTGTTTAGTACAATAATTGCTACTAAAAACTTTTTTTTTTTTTTTAAATTTATAAAGCGCCTTTCACGTCAGGAGGACGTCCCAAGGCGCTGCACAGTTGGGTCATGACCCGAGCAGGGGGGAAATGGTCAGGGTGAGGGGAAGGAAGGGAGGGAGCGAGGAGGGGAAATGGTCAGGGTGAGGGGAGGGAAGGGAGGGAGCGAGGAGGGGGGAAATGGTCAGGGTGAGGGGAGGGAAGGGAGGGATGTTAACATTATTCATGTTTGAGTTGCTTAAATTGCAATTGTCTTTGAACAGTGCAGGTCAGTTTCCTATTTGTTTGTGTTCCTATAAAGTTAGCAATTAACAAATCTATACCTTTGACAGCAGATTGTGCTTTGCAAACTGTAATCTAATATCCAATCACTCTTTACCTTTGATTCAGCTTGTCAAGAAATGCATGAGCCATATTCAGTTGGTTTAAAGCATCTACTGCTGGGTGCAATTCACAAATGCTTAGGAAATACAGATGGTTCCATTCAGGTAGACACACCATAGCTGTCCTGTTTGTGTTTTGTAACAAAGTTGTACAAGTCATTTTTGATGATATTTAAGACCCAAATCTGTTCATATTGAATATAGTATAAAATACAAGTATAAAATGTTGAATGTAGAACAAAGTATAAAATGAATCTTTGGCAATAAAATTAGATGTTTGTTGCATTTCTATCCTGCAATAATTTATGTTACTAAACTATGCAAGTATGATTCAGAAACACCTTTGCCATTGTGGTCAAAACAATTATATCCATTTCAGTGAAGCCTTGTTACATTTGTTACTCAACAATATTTATTGTTCTTGTAAAAGGAACAAAGTGTTAAATTTAAGAAAACTATTCAATTGTACCGACTGCATTCTGTAGCAGAGTAATGGTTGTAGTATTAAGTTGCCCACCTTACATTATTACTAATGTTTGATGCTTTTTGTCCTTTTTTTCTCTCTCCTCGTGCAGTTCTTCCAGTTAGCTGTAAAGGATGAGTTCAGTCGTCAAACCAATGCATACATACAACCATATGCTTGTTATGAGTTGGGATGCCTCTTGTTAGATAATCCAGAGGTAAGAGTAACAATTTTATATTTCTGAAGTCAAAACTTCCTGTTCTGCTATGAAGTAAGACTATATTTATAAATCTAATAAAGTCCAAGTTTTATTTTGTGGATAAGAATTACTGTACGAGATGAAAACTATGATTTAAGATTTATAAGTACATTGAATTCCAGAGGTACTCACCCTATTTTGAAGAACATGTAAACTCTTCTGCTCTGGAATGCAAATTGTAGCATTCTTTTAAGAGAAAAAGAGGCTGGACGCTGGAAATCTAAAATGGAAATCATAGTCACACTTTTTAAAACAAAATACACAGCAGGGAATCTTGCATCACAAAGAGAAAGTTAAGTTGATCTCATTGTTAGATGAGACCCTTCATTTAAGCTGTCCTCTCAGATGTTTGCCAACATTTTCAGTTTTGTTTTAATATTTTTTTGAACCATGGTAGTTCTGTGTTTTTTTTCTCATTTGGTTTTGTAATATTGATAATATTTCCAGATCATTTTCTGATGTGAAAGGACTGATGATGCATATTCTTTTAACTGCCCAATGTTTATCAGCATTTGCACTTGGTTGCATTATTAGATGCAATGTTTTCCTATTTCCAACAGTTGCTTGCACCTTTAATAAGCTAAAACGATATGATATTAATGTACTTGTTTTTTGTGTGTGACAGGCTTCAGGTCAAGGCAAAGCTTTGCTGCACCAAGCCAAGGTAAGTTTAAAATGTGAATCTGCATCATTAATAGGAAAATTGATTTCTCAAATTATAGTTGCATTTCCCCACTGCTATGTTTTGTGGAGACAGTAATACTGAAAATCATTGTTCTCTAAGAATGTTTTTTTTCTAGCTCAGCCTCTATCCTCGGGGAGGGTACAAGCTGCCCATACTTGGTAGTAATTCAACTCTTGATTTTGCTCATGAAGCTTGTAGAGGGATGGTGTAGTGACATCCTGTAGTTTGTGGAGTCCTGTAGCTCAGTGGTTAGAGCACTCGCTTTGTAAGTGAGAGACCTGGGTTCAATTCCAGGCAAAGGGCGAAACCTTGGGCAAGTTTCCTTACTCCACACAGAGCCTAATAATAATCCCTCCAAAACCCCAAACAATAATAAATTGGTCATTTTCAATCTACGACTGTTTGTGGGACATTGCTGTGCGCAATTGGCTGCCGCGTTTGCCCACAGATATACAGTCAATTCACTTTACAGTGTGTTCTGTGAAGCGCTTTGGGACGTCCTCCCGACGTGAAAAGCGCTATATCAAATGCAAGGATTATTATTATTATTATTATAGTAGTTAATATCAGTAACAACTTGCACTTATATAGTGCCCTCCATGCAGGATAGCGTCTCAGAGAGCTTAACAGTGGTGGAGCCTGACTCTGAGCTGTAGGGGAGGTGGCCGTAAGCACGGTCGAAGAGGAAGGTCTTCAGGCGGGACTTGGAAAAGGGAAGAGAGGGAAAGGCTGAGGGATCGAGGGAGAGTGTTGCAGAGTTTCAGGGTGTAGTGGCTGAAAGCGTGACCACCAATGATGGGGCGGAGAGTCCAAGGGGTGAGCAGGAGGCCTGTGCCAGTCGAGCGGAGGTCCCGGGTGGCGGATTGGGAAGTGAAGAGGTTGGAGAGGTAGGGAGGTGCCAGAGTGAAGGGATTTGATCATGAGGATCTTAACGCGCTCACCTCTCAAGCGAGAGAACACAGATTTGATTCCTGGGTGAGGTGAAACCTTAGGCAAGTTTCTTTACTCCACACGCCTCTGTTTACTTAGCAATAAGTAATACCTGGCCCATCTCTTTCTGGGGATGATAATCCCTCCTCCCACAAAATGGGTCACTCAGTGCACGACTGTTTGTGGGACACTGGTTACCGCGTTTTCCCCTCAAAATATACAGTCAATCCACTTTACGATATACTATGTGAACTGTTTTGAGAAGTCTCGATGACGTGATATTAAATGCAGGAATAATTTTTATTATAGAATATAGATGTAAGCAGAGGTGTTGCTCCATTATATTGAACACTGGTCAGACCTCATCTGGAGCACCTTTGGGTATCCAATCTTAGGATATGTATACGTTCGCCTTGGACTTCAGATCGTGTAGCTGATTCTTAGTGTTTGATTGTAACAATGTGGTTTTCTCTTCTCCGCAGGAGGATTTTGCTGGATATGATTTTGAAAACCGGCTGCATGTGCGTATTCATGCTGCACTCGCCTCGCTGTCTGAAGTTGTTCCACAGTGACGGTTGCCAAGCAGGAATCCTGTGCAGTGCACATATGATCGGACTCATCCGTTTCTGCACTTTATGCTGTGCATACACAGCAAGGAAAGTAGAATGGTTTGCCTCACTCATGAAGGTTATATCGTTTTTAGTGAACCTAAGCATGTAAAATGTTTTTGGATGTGTAAGGGCAGTATTACTGATAATTGTGACATGCAATGCAGCTGCCAGCTTATTTATAAATACCTGTAATAGGAGAAGGCTTAGGGACTCCAGGGAATTATCAAGTGGCCTTGCTTTTGTCTTTCTCACACTGATCAGAATGTAGTCCAGTTTAGATTTAGCTAGTCTCAATGCAATTGGTTTAACGGAAAGCACATAAGCCAATTCACGTCATTGGCACAGAATCTAATGATAGTGATTTGCTTGGGGGAGAGAAGGGAGAGGGAGGAGGGAGAGATATCCCTTTGCTGCACCAGCCATATTTTTGTTACACTAATGTTATTTATTATTTGCTTAGATATTATTGAAAATTCCTTTTTGTATTGGGCCTCAGAGAGCACCAATAGTAAAGGGGTAATAAATGCATTCCTGCTCAGGTGTTTTTCTTTTCAATTGACTGAGTGAAAGATGTGGTACCTATAGGCAGTCGTTACAATATGCCTCTGTAATGCCGATGCTCTTTAGATTTTTTTTGTAGTCAACACCTGCTGTGTTAGTACACTGTCAAGCATCAAAATACCTCCGTTGTAGGTGAGATGTAGCAAACACAACTTCAAAAACATTAAAAAAGGTGTATCTGGAAAACAGGGTAATGGATTAATGAGACTGTTCTATAGCATCTCTACAGAACAAGGAAGTCTTTAATTATCCACCTGATCTTTTGTTTTATATATTAAGACATTGCTTTTTTGTATGTACTGTTGGATTTTTTTAATTTGTTACTAGAATCTTATAGGGAAAACTAGATTTTATTCTGTATTAGATTATGCCATTGCTAAGTTCTTTATGCACGATTAATCTGAGAGGTGTGAACAGTAGAATAACAGGGCACACACCTCACTTAGCCACATCACTTGAAGATAACGTGGTCAATTTACAATTATTTTTATAAATCTGTATTAAAAACTCGAGGGGCATGATCTAATAGCAATAAAAGTGAAAAAATTGACATTGTTTCTCAATAGTTCATGTGTGCTGATCACAGCTTGAAACTCCCAACTATACATTATTTAGAAACAAAATGCATTAGTTTTATTTTGCTGCATTTTTCAGTCAGTTGTTCACTCGACAAAAGTGAATTATTTCTCATTTTGATTAATTTTCAGTCTGTAATAGTGTTTCCAAACTGACGATGCTTTTAAATACCTAGAGTTTGTCCCATATTTGTAATATGTTTATGTGATTCTATATTGTGCTTTTTTCTAAAAAAAACCTTAGAATAGAGCAAAATAATTGAGTTTTTTGCCATATGGTAATGTGGGTTAAGGTTATGTGATGTGAATATTTCCAACTTGCTTACACTGGAGAATGTGTGTTAACATTTTCATGATGTACCCTTACTGCTCAGGGGATGGGAGAGAAATGAAAAGTATTCATATAAAAACTTCGTAACAAACTGAACTTAATAAATTACCTAGTCCTTGCCTAAGGATCTCCCAGATTCTGTCTTCTTATTGTATAAATGTAGGTGGGAACAGTGGGGTTACATTGAATTAACAAGTGTAGCCATTTCAGGAAGAACTATAATTTATAAAATTGCCATCAACAAGTAGTAACTTTCCATCACAAACTATTTTGCTACTCTTTGCAAGGCTGGGGAGTTCAGAAAGATGTTCATTGTGTACATGAATGGAAATGTTGATTAACCCTGTTGTGATGAAAAGTTGCCATTGTAGTTTTGACTGTCGTGTATGTTTGACCACTATTAATTACTCTGTTGCTTATTAAAAATTACATGAATGTCCAAATGCGTTGTGTAAGTACTGTAAGATATTTCTGCTTGTAGTGACTACATTTTATATATAACGTCAGCATTGTAATTCTTACATTTAAAAGTGGTGTCGGATTAATTGTTCTGTTTGATCAGAACTCATATTGTGTGGAAACCAGCTACACTTTCTGTTGTTCTACCTTACATGTATAACAAAGCTCAGATGTGTTGTTGCCTAGTTACACACTAGACACAATAATAATGTACATAAACTAGCTTTATCATATGATAAAGTTGAATAACTTCAAATTTTATGATAACCTTTTTTCAAAGATTCTCAAATGAAAGAATGTAGACTGCTGCAAAAGTACTTGATTTTGCTTTCGCTAAATACATACCAGGGTCAGCCTGGCTCAGTTGGTAGCTCTCTCACTTCTGTGTCAGAAGGTTATGAGTTCAAGCTCCATGTCTGGTCTTTGAGCTCATAATCTAGGCCGATGCTGCAAAGCAGCGACTGGTGAGTGCTGCGTTTATCCACGCTTTCATCATGTCCCGGCTTGACTACACCAACTGCCTGCTCGCTGGACTTCCCAACTCTTCCCTCCAGAAGCTGCAGGTTATTTAGACTACTCTGCAGCTCTACTTCTACTTCTCCCACACCAGGCTCTGCGAACCGATCATCTCCATTCTTTCCCGGCTTCACTGGCTCACCACCCCTCAGAGAATCAGGTACAAAACCCTTGTTCTCACCTTCAAAGCCCTCTGTGGTCTTGCTCCCCCCACCTCTCTGACCTCCACAGCAGCCTGTCTGCACCCTCCGCTTGGTGGACACTAGCCTACTCCAGATCCCCCACACATCTCGCCCCACCATTGGTGGTCGGGTATTCAGTATCTGCCCCCATTCTGGAACTCTATCCCGCAATCCCTCCGCCTCACCCCCTATTTTGCTTTCTTCAAGTTATGTCTAAAGACCTTCTTCGACCGTGCCTTCAGCCACCTTCCCTCGGCTGCCCCTCCTCCCTGCCACCCCTCCTGACACCACCTCCCAGCTCGGGTCCGATACCCCTGACTGTCTAGTGCTCTGGGACTTTCTGACATGAAGGGTGCTATACAAGTGAAATTTGTCGTCAGAGGTGCTGTGCTGACGATGAGAAGCAAAACTTAGGTACTGACTGCCAGTTCCATTGGCAGTACTCAGAAAGAGAAATGAGTTTCTCTCTGTGTCCTTGTCAACAATCCCCAAGATCAAACGAGTCGTTCAGTTCATGGCTATTTGTGGGAAGTTGCTGTGGACAGAATGGCTGCCGTGTTTGCCTAGAATTATAATCGCTCTTCCTGTGAGCGTTTTGAAATGTTTTGATATAGTACTGTATTAAATGCAAACCTTTTTTGATAGAGGGATAAGATATATACATCTGCTGTGTCTTTTAGCAATCTAATTATCTGTAAATTGACATTTATCTACATGATTATCTCAGATGGCTGAGATTGAATCAGTGGTGAAAGGAGCAAATTTATTTCAACTATCATCCCTTAGCTCCTGCAGTCGTCTACAAAATATATAGTCACTACACTTGATGATATGTCATGTTGAAGCACTTTGAGACATCCTCCTGACATGAAGGGCGCTATATCAACCGTAAGGACTATTATTGCTTGCCTAGAAAAACTGAAATATTTGGTTTGGTCACTGTAACTGGTGTTTTAAATTCTCTGTTTCAACAATGGTTTCCAGTAATGAAACAGTTCTAGGAAAGAGCTCTGTACTTCACACAACAAAGGTTGTGCCTTACATCTGTAACCATGGTTGCCACTTGGTTTATAGGAATAGAACATGTAACCTCAGAAGTCCCTGATCTCAATGCTACCTCAATTTTTCCTGAATCACTTCATTAATACGTTGTGCCCCAATCACCCCACCCTCGCCCGGCTCCACTGGCTCCCCATCCCCCAAAGAAGAGTGGCTCCACTGGCTCCCCATCCCCCAAAGAAGAGTTCAAAATCCTTGTCCCTCCACAGCCTTACTCCTTCCTATCTCTGTGATCTGCTAACCCTATATTAACTTGTCCGCTCAGCGTAATCCAGCCTGCTCCACGTCCCCCAGCCGGCTGGCCCAACCATCGATGGTCCCACCCTTTGGAACTCCATCCCACATTGCCTTCGTCTCGCTCCCTCTCTTGCCTCCTTCCAAGCACGACTCAAGACCCTCATCTTCGACCGTGCCATCGGACACCCTTCTGCCCTTACCCTCCCTGCCCACCCCCTCACTGATTCCAGCCCCCTACTCGGGTCCAAATCCCTGACAATCCAGTGCCTTGGGACGTCCTCCTGACACGAAAGGCGCTTTGCAAATGTTGTTTGTTTGTTCATCTCATTTTCCACATGCAACAAGATTACAATTTGCGTTTATCTTAATAATTAATCAACATATTCATTATTAACGCGTGCAATTATTTCAACCACTGAAAGAGGGGGTGTGGGTGGGGCGGAGGGGGGGGTGAAGCCTGCTGGAGAATCGCGTGCGTCACACCAGAGATCTTTACAGTATATACTTTGAAGCGCTTTGAGACATCTCAACAACGTGATAAGGCGTTATATCAAATGCACGGATTATTATTATTATTATTAATATTATTCTCAGCCCAAGGCTCACTTTTTTGGGGGTGGGAGGGGGGGGTGGGGGCGGGGTTTCACGTGACTGCTTTGCAAACACTGACGTGACAATATAACCAGTTGGTCAAACAAAAGTCGCCTCCACTTCAAGCAGTTTGCTTCAAGGCAAATTCAGGCTCGGTTGTGCTGGGGCCGCTGGAGCAGGAGAGAGAGAGAGAGAGAGAGAGAGGAGATAGTTGTAGGTCAGGTAATGGGAGTCAAAGGTGGTGGTTGTGTGAGAGGCACTCGGGGAGGGGAAGCTGCAGTGAGTGAGTGAGTGAGTGAGTGGCAGTGCCCACCGCTGGGCAACACGATCAGTCAACTCTGGTCGCCAGCAGTTAATTGCATAGCACGACCTGGTGTTAAACTAACGGGTTGAGAGGTTTCCCTGTCAAACCCCCCCTCCCCCCCCTCCCCCCTCCCCCCCTCCCACACCCACACACCCACACACACCCACACACAAAAATTACTGGGTTCGGGGTTTTTTGTGCGTGTATTTTAACCTGAATTTTTTTTTTACGTCATTTTTTTTTATTCGATGGTGGCAATGGGACGCTGTGATATTGTGAGTGTCTTCGTGGCTCTGTCTGTGTGTGTGTGTGTGTGTGTGTGTGTGTCTGTCACGAGCCATCGGGACCAACGCTTGTGGGAGTAACTAACGACCAGAGCGTCAGTTACTTCACATGGCTTGAGCCTGGTTTGGAGGTCTGGTTCGGAACAGTCGTGACTTGGGGAATAAATAAAGAAATGGATAAATTAAAAAAAAATAGCTGTAGAACGCGAGGAAATGTTTGTTCTGTGTGTGTGTGTGTGTGTGTGTGTGAGAGAGAGAGAGCGCTGACGTGACGTGCGGTGCTGGTCCAGGTGTCCGGATCGCTGTCCATCAGCTATTCCACTGTGTGGGGCTGTGGGGCTGAGAAACGTGAAAAAGGTCTTTTACTGAATGTTCAATCCAAAAAAAAAAACCCACACACACAATCGGAAGCGTTTCTTTGTGGCCGGACATCATCATGAGATGGTTTCACCCCCTCCTCCACCCCCTCCACCCCCCACCCCCCGTGTTGTGGTGGTGTGTAATTTTCACGCAGGGCTATCGCGGCTGTCTTTGCTGCTGCATTTACCCGGTGCTGCTGCCCCGGTGATGCTCAGTGATGTCGATCACAATAATGATTGTGATGCCACTGCTGGAAAATCGCACTGATAATTTGCCATTGCTTTTTTTTTTCTCCTCTCAAAACAGTCAGTGACATACCCTTGAATTAGATTAAAAGCAAATGAGGGATTGAAAAACGCTGTGTGGCATCAATACGTTTGAATATGAAAAGGGTACTCCAAACGCAAACTGTTATCCAGGACTATCAGAGATTTGTCATAGAGATATAAGCTTCAAGTAGTTTAATGTTTTCAGTGGTTGAAAGGGCGTTGTATACATTTGCATTGAAATACATTATACTGAACAACTTAAATAATAATTATTATAATGGGAACATATGAGTACAATGAATGTTATGCTGTTTTATTGACTAACAACTCTCAAAAAAAAAACGTGAAAACCAGCTCGATATTAAGACATAATTGAATAATTTGCTAAAATAGCAGAATTTTAAATATTGAGAGAATGTCCTTAGAGCTAAGACTAACCGAAGCTTAGTTGCGCTTCTGCTGAGGCAAAATTGTATAATAGTGAGAAATTCCGATACATTTGAAATTATGGTTTTTTTCCCAACCAACTTTCTTGTTTCCCCTTCTCTTCTGCAGACATTTGCTTCCTTTGTGTACCTCATTTAAGTAAATGGCTATTCATTGCTGCGCACAAATTGGCTATCATGTTAGCCTGCACAAAATGCAATCACTACACTTTACAGTAAATCCTGTTAAGGCTTTTGAGACATGGTGCCAATATGAAAGGTGCTGTGCCAGATGCAAGTTTTTATTCTTCATGTGTGATGCTTGACATTGAGTGTTGGCAGATTATTTCTACTGTGAGAAGTCTGATCTTATCTTCACCTAGTACAGGTATTCTACACACACCTGCATTTTCCATGAAGCAGGAACCTGTTTTTTCCCTTCCTAACCCACAGTACTGATATCAATTGCAATTGCCCATTTTAGAGCAGTGGGAAAAGATTTAAACTAGCGAGGAAGGCAGTGGGGTGAAACAAAACAGACATTTGATCTTTCACATCAGGAGGGTGTCTCAAAGCACTTCACAGGATATACTATAAAGTGGATTTTGCAGGGGCTTCTTGGTTTTGAACTGGTTTTGAGTAAACGTGCGTGGAAGAGTCAGGCAGTAATCCAAGACAGATTTAGAGCTGTCCTTAACCCCTGAAAGCTAAAACCTTACAAAATACATAAAGTATTTCTAGCTGTAGAA